TTGTAGACAGATGTCAGGTGTAGGGACACTTGTATGGCCTTGTCGGCCTATGTTTTGAGTTTACAAATGGTCATGTCGGCCTTATAGGCCCGTATGTCACATATATAAGTTTGTATATCATTTTGGGTCTTCATATGTTGAGTATTCCCTTATGTTTTATTCTTGTTATCTCATGACCGGTTTTCTGGCTCATTTGCTCATGTTAGTATGATAAGAAAGATTTGTTACGTTGGTACTCGGTTGAGTAAAGCACCGGGTGCCCGTCGCGACCCTCTGATTCGGGTCATGACAAAAGTGGTATCAGAGCAGTTCTGTCCTAGGGATTCTACAAGCCGTGTCTAGTAGAGTCTTGTTTATGGGTGTGTAGTGCACCAAACTTATAAGCAGGAGGCTACAGGTAATTTAGGACTGTTACTCTTTCTTCTTATTCTAGATCGTGTGGTAGAGCTCTGTTGTAAGAATTCAAGCTCCTAAATTTGACTTTAGTCATAATACAACGATACCTACATTTAAAAAGATGGTTTGTAAAAGATTATATGTGGCTGTGAAAGAGTTGAGTTAGAGGAGCTCAATTTTGCATGATGCATATGATGGGTAAATATAAGTTCTTCAGTAGATCATATGTGTACTAAGAAGTGTAAGCTTCTCGATAAGGAGCCTTAAGGCAAAGAATATCTATCCACCCCTAAAGGCAATGAAAGATTCAAAAGATAGATACAAGCTTCAACAAGTAAAAGGAGCAAGATGGGAAGGGTACAAGGCACCTAGTTAATAAAGATTATCGGTATTTTCATCTCCGGCAGAAAAATATAAGCATTGTAAGTTACCCTCAACAGTAACAGAGGTATGTATAATTGACCATACCCATCTCAGTTATACCCTATTGGGGGCTAACATGTGTAGATTAAGAAAAGGACGAGATATCAGGATCCGGTTCGGGTTAGGATAACCCATAATGATGAATTGATTGTTTGTGTTAGTTGACAATTTCTGAAGGATAATGCAAATGTGCTAATAAATCTCCTTGTGAGATACCCAGATGGCGCACTCTAAAATAGTACAGTTAGATATGAGTACTATAAAGATAGCCACTGGAAGCCTTGAAGGGATAAATATTACTTTAGCATGGCTCGTGTCCCTAGGAGAGAGAATTTTAGGCATCCCGAAGAGCCAGTGAGATGAAGCAAGGGGAGCTAAAAGCAAAAGAATGTCTTGTTGATATTTTCAGAATAAAGTGATAGACATAAATGTTAGTAGGAAAATAAGAATAGAGTTAATGAAGAATTATGAGTAAGATATCCACATGGATGACAACGGTGGAAAAAAAATGATGATGAAAATGACAGAATTATAGAGTCTATAGTTAAGTGAAGGAAAAAGATGAGAGGTGACAGGCCTTGAAACAACAAAGGAGTATAGGCCATAAAGTCATATCTTTTTTTTGAGAAATAAGTTCGCAACTCTAACGCGATTACCAGCAGGAAAAGATATACCCCCAGAGTAGTAGAAATCAGTATGGGCTGGTAAACAAGATAAACTAAACGTGAACTAGGGACTAAATGATATGATAATAGTCGGCATCATGAGAATTTCAGAGGTTGTGTTCCGGCGATAGTAGAATGGATGACAAAAGAATGCCCTTTAATGGCCATTCAGGAAGTCGCTTCCCTAAAGCAAGCAATATGAGCAAAGTTAAGCTTAAAGGACTATGTGCGCCAGTTACACTAAGTGTCATCCTCGCGAGCAAGGAATTTTATTATCCTTGGTACAGAAAGCATTACCACAAGGCGAGTAAGGGTAATCGATGATGTGAAAAAACGTCAAATATATAGAGGTAAAATATCTATAGGTAGATCGTCGTAGCTCCAGCTCTTAGTACTCCTCTAAAGGGGGGAATATGGAG